CTTACAAGCGGAATTAAAGTGAATACCTTTAGAGTCAACATATAAATAATGTAAATAAAAATCTTCCTTTCTTCTCTTAATTTGTACGGATCTAATTAATTATTAATTCTATGCAGTTAACAATAGAAAAAGTGAATGTTTAATGATTTTAGCTAATGACGATATTTTCAAGATGAAGTTAGAAAAACAAATTATATCTTCAGACTGCTTTGTAGAAGACTGGGGGCTCTCATTTGGAAGATCTGTGTAAAAATTTGTGTTTGTACATATACACCGTCTTGTGTCTGTTAGTAAGAGTTGAAAATTCCATCACGTCGAGGTCACCATTATGTAGAGGACCGAGGGGTGAAAACATGAAAAGTAAACACGTGCGTTTATTTTTCCTGCTAGAAAAAGGTCCAGCTACAAGAAAAATGGCGGACTCTAGTTGTGTCCAACCGAAAATAAAGAAGACAAACAAGACCGATATATATATATATATATATATATATATATATATATATATATATATAAACAAATGTATGTATTAAACAAAACAATTTTACAATGGACATATACAATAATATTTGTGTGTGTGTGTGTGTGTGTGTGTGTGAATATTTGTGTTTGTTCTTTGGTGAATGTTCGTACGTACGTGTATGTGTGTATAATGTTTTTGGCGTCTTCCCACAAGTGGGAACCGCTATCTCCTAAGAGAGCTTACATTGTAGTCGCTGAAATGAAGAAATGAAAAAGATGATTTACCTCACCTCCACGCGAGGTGGGATGCGGCACGAGGCCTGAAGGAAAGTTTATGTAATTCTGTGATAACAGAATATGTGGCACAAGGCCGAAAAGGGGAAGGGGAAAAAGGTCGGTCTTCTGTCTTAACTTTAAACTTAGCTAGCCACAAACGCTGACCCAATCATACTAACAATATTTCTTGCACCAAAACAACACATTCTTACGTACCTTTCTCAACACATCCGCCATAATACCTCAATGTCTCCAGAAAAATACTAAATAGTCCCCATATGTACAATTTATCGTCTGTGGGGGGAGGGGAATAAAACAGCAATTTACATATTTTAAAAACTAGCCCTAATGAGGCCCGAAGGAAAGAGAGAACGAGGCGAGAGGTCGCCCATTATTTATAGTATAGGGAAAATGACCACTAGTGACAATTTGGGAATTAAGGAGGAGCTAACACCGACAACTTTATCAGTGAGGAATAATCTGGGAATATCGTTCTAGGGCATATTATTGGCTTTTGTAGGTTTTACTTTTGAAATAGGTAACAAGTATAATTGTTTGCTTTGTTTTTTTGTTTGTTTGTGTGTGTGTGTGTGTGTGTAGGGGGGCGTAAACGTTTTGTTGGTCGCATTCGAACACTTCAAAAGAAGAGAATATAGCGGTATTCTACACTACGTTTTTCTTTACGCTCATCTCACATGTACTCACTCCAGTTTTCAGATTCGTTTGACCAAATTAGGTCTGATTTTGTTATTAAATGACATTAAGAGTGTTTATTTTTAATTATCTTTATTTAAAAAGAACACTTCCGGTATCTTTTTCACAGTAGACATAGCGTCTATGTTTTAAAAAAAATATCAAGAGTGGCATATTTTTGTTTATTGATTCTAATATTCAAGCAGGAGGAAAATATCTAACATTTTTGGTATATTGTACTATTTTATTTGAAGAAAACTAAAAATACAACTCCAATCCAAAATAGATTTTATGCATTTTTATGACCCGTTTGATTATTCACACTTCTGTCAAAATTGGTTTACGAAGTTTCAGGCTGTAGATTTCTCGTTTAATGATGCTTTAAAGTCGGGTAGATCAGTAAAATTTGATAGCGATCAAATATTATTGTTGCAATGGAATGTTCCATTCTCCCTATTACCTATTGTGGACTGGCTATATCAGTAATATATATAGTGGGCATTGGACATACCAGAGTCTGTCTGCCTCTCTGGGTACCTCGGCGTGGTGTAATGGTTAGCAAGCTTGTCTCGCTAGATCAGTTACAACTGAAAAGTGAGTTCGATCCTCACTAGATTCCCCCTACTTTCGGCCTTGTGCCACATCTAAGCTACGCTTAGAAAATAACTTGAGTCTGTCGTTCACTTCTGAACCGACAGTTCGGTTGAACTCTCAGCCTTCGGGCGGGGATGAACCCGAACGAGGCTACACCGAGGGGCGCGAGTCTCGTTCGGGGAGGTAAACCAGCCCTGAGCTCGTTTATACGGGTTGAATGGTCATATTTTTGGGCTGAGCCACAATAAATAACCGACCTTGTGTCACATGATGCCCCAGTGGGGGGGACTAAATATCGTCTGTCTGTCTCTTTGACTGGCTTCGGAAAGTGTTAGTCAACTTCCTGTCTTTCAGTAGTGTATTCTCTTATACAATAAACCTCTCGTTCTTCCATCTACGCCCGTGTTGCTGTTCCTTCCACTCCGGTATCACCTTTGGCTGTTTGTAACCTTTTAAAGGATGCAACTATTATAAAATAGCGTTTACAAGCCTTTATAAAAACAGCATCAATAACATTTTATTCGATTTAGAAACGAAAATATTGAATATAATTATGAATTTACTGTAAACATGCGAAGACTAAGGCGCAATATTTATAAAAATCACATCTGCCAAACCATAAAGACGTAACACACGTAAATGACCAAAGAAAGACAATGCATACCTACAGAATAGAAATATATTTGATAATGGCTAATGAAGATAGAATGACTTAGAAGACATTGGACAGCTTATGTTCATACTTTGCCACGAAAGCAGAAAAATGGCTCGAAACGTAGGAAAAATTAAATAAAAGAAATCTTAAATAACTTTCTTTGATTTTCCAATAAACGTATATATATATATATATATATATTAGGATATTACACCGAAAACATGTCAAAATCGATACACAATTGCAGTCGTTTTTCGATGCGTATCAATGTATCTCATCAGATGATTGTAAATTACTGTTGAGTGAATGATTTATTGGGATGTAAAAGGAAAATACAACCTCTTTTTACGAAAAAAAAAGTGGGGTATAAGGTTTGGGGGCTTTACTCTGATCAACCAATCAAATATGACTTACGTTAAATTTAAACTAAACGAAGAAGCAAAAATGAAATATTATTTTTTATATAAAGGTTCATGACCCGTAGATTGGCAACTAACGACAGCCAGACATAAACGGATACATAAATCGATACATAAATTATACAAACTACCTAATACATAAAAATGGGGTGGAGAGGTAGTTTTACAAAATGCTAAACAACTTATATCCTTTGTGAGTTTCCAATTGATTTTTTTTTATAGTTGATAAGTAGCTTCTTTAAGAAACTAGTAAATAATTTAAACGTATAGAATTATTTGGTAAATTAATATGCAACTGTTGAATAAAGATCCTTCATATAAGATGTTAATAACAATAGATAATCAATGTAAAATGCCAGAATGTAGTGATAGAAAATAAAAAAGTTCATTATTTCGAAAATAAATAAAAAATAGAAAATTAAAAGCTGGAAAACCATTTTGCTTTGTCATAAAGAAATAAAAACAAAAAGATAAAAAAAGAAATAAATGAAAAAGCCAAAGGATCATCATTCCTAAATGGAGGGGAAGAAAATAGGATTGTCAAATGAGTTCTGTGAACCAATCAGAAATTAAGTGACAATTCTGAAATGAATTCCTTTGTCTCGAAAAAATGATAAACTTAGAGACGACCAGGCAAGACAAAGATAGAGAGAGTCAATGAGATATTTCGTCCGTTCTCCCATGCCTACATTTTCGGACAATTAAAAATCCCACAGAGAGTAGAATGAGTAATTACTATCAAGAGATAATTACGTATAAACACATTTACAAGGGCACTCTTCTCTCTCTCTCACTTATATACTACAGAACTTAGAGACGTTCAACACGAGAACTTTCTGATATGAATTTGTAGCGGACCGTCTAAGTTTGAGTGTTGTTGAATTAGAAACACGTGCTGTTTATTCCTGCTAGAAGAAGGTCAAACTACAAGAACAATTCGGACTCAAAGTCCAACCAGAGATGTAAAGAAAACAAACAAGACCGATATATATATATATATGTCAACCAATATATGTATCAAACAACAAATTTACAAGTGACAAAGACATCAACATTTGTGTTTGTGTGTGAACGTAAAGGGATTGTATTTTGTCGAATGTTCGTACGTACGTGTATGTGTGTTTCATGGCGTTTTCCTATAAGTGGGCGAAAACGCTGATCTCTACGAGAGATCACATTTTTAAATGTGTCCGCTGAAATGCAAAGTGAAAAAGAGAACGAGGCAAGAAGTTGCCCAGTATTTATAGTGTAGGAAGAGCGACCCCTAGTGAACAATTAGGGAATTAAGGAGGAGCTAACTCCGACAAACTTATGAACTCTTTTCAATAAGATATATTTTATTTTAAGAGATATAAAATTTTATCAGTACATGCAACATATATCTTTGCCTTAATTATCTTTGCATGCATTTTAAAAGAGAAAAATTTGGTGCCTATTTCGATTAAGGACCTTATTCGAAGGTAACCACCTGTAACCCCCACAAAAATGTCTTATATACCACAGTTTATAATGCTGTATTCGTTTGTCATCGCATACATATGCATAGGATGCATACACATACATATAGACGTACATACAAATATACTGACAAAAATAGAAACCGCCTTTCTTTAGATATACATACATTCTTCTGTGTATCTCACCTTATCCGAATCTATTTGTTAACAAAACTGATACTGTCAGACTGAAAATAACGTTTGTTCGTGCTGTTGCTAGTTGTTGGGTCAAAGCAACTGGCTTCCATCTTTTCACTATATTCCAAACATCCTGTCTGCTTTTCAGGCAACACCTGCCATCTTGATTCTGGGAAATATTTTTCGTCGCTGCTTGACTGCTGTTAAAGGAAGCATCTTGTCAAAATCTCAATGGTCCCGCCGATAAAAGTAATCTATGTTTTCCAAGACTAAAAGAAAACAGAAGATAATTTAAAGAAGACTAAAAGAAAGGGAAGAAAAAGAAATAATGAAAGAAGTGAAAGAAAAAGAGAAGAAGAAGTCAAGAGAGAAAACATGAAGGAAAGCAAACGGTTAACGGTATTGACGATCAAAAAACAGTTTCGATACTCGCATTTAGAGTTCAAAAAATTAAAGAAATAATTTTATCGATAAAAGATTAATAATGCCAGTTACCATTGGTTACTTCATTAAAATTATTGGAATGTCGTCTACTGAATTTTCATTTGGAGCTAAAAAGAAGTTTTCTAACAAATGTACAAGAACAATTACGACTGAAAATAATTTGGTTGGGTTTTCTCTGTTGCATATGTATCGTAAAGAATTCTTTAATTAGGCTAAATCATTGCTCTTTTAAATCTGCCTTAATTAATGAAGATCTCTATATATACAAGTTCGTGAATTGGTTCTTTTTTACCTTATTAAATTGTGTACATGTTAGTCAGTTATGTACCATGCGTGATACACGCTTAAGCGATCATGTATCTTTTCGATACATGACTGACGAGGCAGTAGGTTGCCATTTCTTTCTGCGGTATACCAGTTGCCATCCAAAGCTATAGAACCCGATCTGTCCTGCTATTTACCCATAGCTGGGTAGAGGTGAGAAGAATAGGATTCATACCTTTCCCAAGGGTATTATCACATAATTGAATGTAATGGATTCGACTGGAATTCGAACTCGGCTCTCCGATTTCTCAATCCGAGCATATACAATTATAAAAAGAAAATTCACGGTAAAAAATGAATCTATTCGAAATTAATTTAGTGAATAACATCTGCTGCTACTACAACCGCTGCCATAATTCATTATAATTATTGACAGGTAAAAATACAATTTTCTTCAAATCTATCCCAAAGTATTACATTTAATAGATGCTTGATCAAAGTAACAAGCTAAGACAACGACATATTTTCGCCTTTTAAAATAAGGTAGAAATAATTTTGTTTCACTTCCAGTAAAATCCAGTCCATTAATATAGGAATCACTTTCCCAAACTTTTTCTTTGTAATTGTAAATATCAGTAAACATCATCCGAGGAATTTACACGAGCCAGAATGAACTGAAGTGTTCTATCCAAGAATTATTGGGTTGGTGCATAATTATCAGGCGTTTTAAAACAGTATCTATTATGAAAAAAGAAACATAACAATTCAACAATAACATTTTTAAATGATTATTCCGGAGAGTATGATTATCGACACGCATTTTTATAACCTGGAAATAAAATAATATTTTTTATTAAAAAAGTAAACAAGGCAGTAATTTTTATTAACAAATAACTCACATAAAAATATCGCCTGATAATTATGCACCAACCCAATAGTAAGCTGCTTCATTTTGATATATTTTCCAAAGTTCATAGGTTTAAATACGTATTTGACGGCAAACAGCCTGACTCAATCAATTGTCCAGAACAAATTTACAAAAAAAAAAAAGTAAAAGATTATTTCGATCTAAAATAATGATTATGTTATTTAAACGCAGAATATTATTGCCATAATGCCATATCTTGTCTCTTTCTTATTTCATTGTTCATTTATTTGCTCGCTACGATTCCAAGCGATAACTGAGCGACATTAAATAAGAACAAGATGAAATATTCCTGCACTTGGTGAACGGAACGAGAACATTCTACTCCCGTAGATTAAAAAAAAAAAGGGTTCAGCTCGAAATTCCCCGAAGGTTACTAGGATTGACAAGCACCTGATGAAGGACGGAGGCACAACAGACGAAACATTGTGATAACAACAGAAATTAGGACAATAGTCCGCGTGTAAATAATAAGTTTTTATCGCAGAAATTCTGACAAAAATAACGAAGGTAATATCTTTTCTTAGAGTATCAGTCAAAATATTTCATTAAATTCACACGTGATAAACAGCTGCAAGTATTTGGATTTTTAAGGTTCAATTTCACTGACTGGTAAGTTGAATTTTCAAGGGAAATTCAGATGGCTGTTAGTGTTATATTAAGATTATGATGCGAGAACAAAGAAGAAACGACGGAGGTTTAAGAAATAAACAACTGTATTAACATAAAAAATATAATAAATGGTAAATTGGTGTAAATGTGTCTCGTTGAAAGAAAGACACAAGTAGAATCGTAAAAGTCTTCCGCACAGGCGTACGGTAGGAGAAGGAGTTGTGACTTACTACGGTGACGGACTTTGGTGAGTTGTTTTAGGAGATAGGAGGCCGCATTCCGATCAGGTGTTGTAAATCCTGGCTGTTGTGCCGTCTGATTACTGAAAATGTCCATTTGATGAGCTTTTATGTCCTTTTTTTAAGCTCAGATATGCTCCAATTTTTATTTTGTTTCTTTAGGAGGGAATGGGTGCTATTGGGCTAAAATTAAACAATTTAAGTAGAGACGAGGATGGTGACGGGTATTTAAAATTATGAAAGCGTGTTATAAAACTTCTTTTTAGCTTCAAATGAACTTCTCAGACTGCAACCCCCTTGATTATTATGTGTGGGGAGCAGTTGAGCGAGAGACCGACAAATCTCCTTGTAACACCAAAGATAAACTGAAGGCAAGAATTATTGCAGCATTCACCAACTTAAACGAGACAGTCCAGAAGTGTTGGTGGATATTCCGAAATCGTCTGGAGGCTGTAGCTGAAGCCAATGACAATTTTATTGAATAAATTTACACGTTATCAAAATATTTCTGTACAATTTTGGTAAATATATGTGGTAAAATGAGATGTCAGTGTTATTTTCATTACTGCGTAATTTAGACGACAATTTATCCATCACACACACACAAACAATATATATATATATATATATATATACTTTATTATATGATATTACATTAGAATATGTATAAAACCGCTACATAAATGCACTCCTGTTTCGATGTATATTATCACATCTCATCAGGCGGTAGTAATGTTCTAATGCAATATCCTATAAAAAAGAATGTTGCTCTACTATTTAATCGTATTGAGTCCCATTTTAAATTAATGTTATGAACGTTTGAATTTATATTTAATTAGTTCTCATTTCATTTATATATATATATATATATATATATATATATATATATATATATATATATATATATATATATATATATATATATATATATATATATATTACATAGAATAAATATCCAAAGTTACTTCATTCGAATAGCTTCCACAAGACTTAAACAATTTTTTTTCTTCATATGTCTAAGCTGACAAGGCCTACAAATAAGTCTTGCGGGTCGAAATAGCTATTCGAATGAGGTTACTTTGGATTTTTATTCAATATAATTTATATGCTCTGTTATACTAAATACATTGAGCTCGTTAATAAGCAGAATTGTCGCATTTGGGCTGATGAAAATCCAAGGAAGATTGTTGAAAAGCCATTGCATCCACAAAAAGGTCCCTGTTTGCTGTGCAATTTTTGCTAGCGGGATCATTGGACCGTATATTTATAAATTTGAACGTCCATTTTCGTAATAGGCTTCCACAACTTTAACACGTTGTTTGATTGTTAATCTTTCCATGGTTGAAATTGCCAAAGACATAAGTTGTTAAATCTGAAAGAAAAAGAAAGAAATCATTAGACGCTTAAACTTAATTCACATTTAAAATCAGTCCAAGTTAATGGAACACCCTATATTTAATACATGGACTAAGTAAAATAATCGATAAAAAATGATATAGGCCTTTACGGAGACGACGGTCTAATAATCCTAAGGAGCAGTAAAATAATCATAAATCTTTAAAAAAAATATAGGACTCAAAATAGACATAAAAACAAGCCTAACAGAAGTAGATAATAACAGACGTTACCCTCAACTTAAGAAAAGGTACATGTCAATCGCACAGAAAACCCAACGACAAACCACTTTACATACACACATCTTCCAGCCACTCACCAACAATAATCAATCAGATCCCACAATCAATTAACCGCAGGTTTTCTGACAATTCTTCTAACGAAACCAAAAAAGATTATGAAATAGTTCTAATAGATAGTGGATATTCGGCAACTTTCACATATACACGATACAGAACAAAAAAGCCAGAAGGAAAAGAAACATTATATGGTTCAACCCACCGTACAGCAAAAAACGTAAAAACAAACGTAGGAAAAATATTCATTAAACTCATGTACAATACTTCCCCGCATCAAGCTCTCTGCACAAGTTATTGAAAAGAAACACAGTGGAAATTGGCTTCAGTTGCAATACCCCTTAAATGACAATTGCTTGCAAAACAATATAATATACCAAGCCATCCTAAAATCAGCAGATAACGAAGAAAAATATTCATAGGAGTAACTGAAGGGCCCTGGAAATAGAAACTACAAATTACGTAAATAAAAAACAAATAAAAAAACTACCAAAGCAAACATGAGTAAAAGTAATAAGTAATCATAAATAAATAATAAGTAAAAAGCTAACAAGCAACACTAAAAATAAGCGTATTAGTATTCACAGTTATTTCTGCTCAATATTCTAATTTGAAATATAATTGTTATCACTTACCGAATAACCGTTAGGGTAATACAGTAGACCTTGCTAAATATAATGCACCATTGATTAGCATATCTAAATAGTTTAGACAAAACACATAGTCTGAAAATTACGTTCAAGTATGAAACTGACTGTCGCCGCTCGATGTTGACCTTATGTTCGCTTTTATACTTACATACGCTCTATCACTGATATTGAGCACTTTTACCCATAAATATGGCACACCTTAAAACTATATTTTTATCATATATATATATATATATATATATATATATATATATATATATATATATATATATATATATCCATTTCTATTTCTCTCTCTTTCTTACTTTTACAGTTATTATTATTCAAATACTATTCTGTTTTGCACCAATCCATTTCTTACTATTTGATGAAAATTACCCTTCTCTCTTTTTTTTTTTTTTGACAATCTTCAGTTCCATAAAATGAATTCCAACCATTAGCCATCTCCAAGGAATTCACGCCTGGGAAACTATATTTTTTAATTCAACTATTTCAGCTAAGTTCAACATATGGACGAATACAGATATTGAAATATAGGCATTATACCGGTGT